GTTCCTCTTGAATTCCTCTAAGGAGAAATATGCTTTGGAACAGCCCAAAATTCAGGTTTTCTGGATAGCATTTGCATTTTGTACCCTGTGGGAAACTCTCACAAGTCCTGGGATGTCCAACCTTTTGACTTGCTTTGGCAACGTTTAATGAATAGAAAACATCTTGGGTTGCATATAAATATGTTGCTCCAAAAGTAATACCTCCTATTTATTTTCATAGAAAAGATAACAGCTACAAAGAGCACAATAACATTAATTGATACAGGGAAAAAAAAAAAAAAAAAAAAAAACACGATCAAACCCTATTTTTCCATATAGTTATCACCATTAGCTATGCATTTTTGCCAGCAATGAACAAAAGCCTACAAACTGTGATCATAACAATCTGCACCAGTGAATGTGACCCACTATCACCACTACTGAAACACCCAGCGCCTCACTGTGCTCACATTCACTCTTTGGTCTCCATAAGCAAGCGTTGGCAAATGTCAGTGGGTGCCAATCTTTCCACATGGAGGAATTCAGTGATACATCTTTGCTTCATACACGTTTCCATATCAGACACCATGCTGTCAGATTGCTGCCATCTGTAATACAGTAACAACGTGGAATATGGTGGGAAGGTCCAAGCTCTACTGCTGTACCACCACCACCTGTCTCTGATGTCACAGGCCAAAAACATGAAATAGGAGGCATTACTTTCAGAGCAGCATTTGCAAAAGATACAATATCATTAATATGTAAGTAACATTTTAAATTAAAATGTTTGTCTTAAAACATTAAGAGAAAAAGAGAGATGAACAAAAACATAAAACTAGTGGGATATGTGACCTTGCTTTTGTGAAACTAACACACCAATCTGGGTTGCCACATTGTGAGCTGTGCTCATGAGGTCTGTAAATCATGGGTTGGAGATGCCTCCACGAGTCCTTGAGTTGCATAAGGCATACACATGTAAAAATGCTCTAAGGCAGATGTCCTGAGCCAGATTGTTAGTGTACTGCTATGGCTACTATAAAGGAAAATTCTTGCATTTCTTCACTTCTCTCTTGCTCTTTTTCACTGCCCTTATCCCTGTTTTATGTTACTTTGGTTCCACTTAAAATTATGGTACAAAGAGCAGCATGTCAAGGAGAAAAACAAATAGTGAAAGAAGAACCTAGCCATAAAAGAAGTACCTTAATGAGGTATTCCTGCTCAACATGTTACTTTTTGTCCCCTATCATAAAAGTATGGTCTCAATGATAGGGGTTCAAGACTGCCTTCTTGATTGTACATGCAAATAAAACAGATGGAATTAGAAAATTCCAGAAGATGGTTTGCATGTTTTAACTGGAACATGGCCTTTCTCAGGATAGTTTGTTCCCCAGTGAGTTTCACTCTTAATCTTCAAGAATAAATTCACTAAGCTCTGAGTAAAGCTTTTTAGAAGATACAGGACCAATAGCTTCAGAGAACAAAATACTCCCTATGAAAATCCTTTTTTCTTGGACAGCTGGGTAAGAAAACCATTTAGATAGATGGTCTGGAAAACACAGCTCTTGTCATTATTTTTCTGGTCTATGTAGTATTTCTGGCTTGAACTCACCATGCAGAACCACAGAGTATTCATGCAAACTTATTTTTTCAAGTCATCTTTTTTTATAGCATGACAGGGATTTAGTGGCAAAATTTCAGTTGTTGCTGTGTTATTGCTAAACCTGTGGCAGCTACTGTAAAAAGAGCTTCAGGTTGACATGGCCTCACCACTTTTAGAGGAGATACACCCACCCCAAGGCATTTCTTCCAGACATGGAAAGTTCAGCAACATCAAAGAAAAGCAGGCAGATCAGAAATACCAAATTCAAAGAGGAACCAAGATCATCTTTCCTGGATGATCTAGGCAGACTCAGCATGACATGAGGGGAAGAAGTCCACAACAGATTGTACAATTTGGGCAGAATCTTCTTCTCAGAACAGATCTCTCTGCAAAATAGCTACCAAGTTCTTGGTTGATGCTCAGTCAAAAAAGATCCACTACTAACCAAGTAATCATCATACTAGCAGGCATCACTTACCTGTTGCCATCATTGCTAACACCTGTTTATTGCCAGAATAAGTCACTGAAGTGTTGGAATTCTCTGTAGATATCTGAAAAAACAAGAAACTATAGTTGAAAACTTTCAGAAATGGCCAAGTTCCTCCTTTGTAAAGAATATAAGTTAGAAAAAATTCATGTGCGACAGAAAAAGCTGCTAAATATATTGAATGCTGTTCTTTTCAACAGACATCAACCCAAAATGTCAGTGGTGCTGAAAAGGGATATCACCAGGAGACATAAATGCTGCATAAATAGTATCTGTTTGCAACATTTGGTGCAATTCAATGGAAATAAAAGGCTGCTTATATTTAAGAGAGAGTTTGTTTAAGCAACGCCCTTCCTCTCCTGGGATGAAATGCATTATAGTCTGCTCTTTTATGGTTTAGTTGAATTGAATATGTATTCTTCAGAAAATCAGCTAAACCATCAGTTGAGGTAATGCAGAAATGACTAATTAGAAAAATACACTGGAACTTAACTGTGAAAAGTGCTATATAATATTCTGTCACTGATTATTATAGTAAGTACAGTATAGAGAAGCTCTGCCCTAAAATTTACAGTGCCAACTATAGGTGCATTGCAGCCAGGGATCAACAGATAATTTTGATCAAAAGGGGAAGTCAGATTATTATCCCTTAAGATCTGTCAAACTAAAGGAATAATTTATCTTATAAATTAACTTATACCTTATAACTTATACCTTAGTAATGTAAGAAAATCTGAGAAATAACACTTGAGAGCTGTTTTTCATTTTGCAGTTTTTGCCATTTCTCTTGTTCTGCTAAAATGAATTTAGCAAATAATTTCAGTGTCTCCTCTTTTCAACTTTACAGCCAAACCATGTGATAAATTGACCTTGGGAATAAGATTGGTTTTAAAATCCCTCTTTCCATGCACTCCCGCTGCGGACATTCATCCCCACATCTGCAATGAATTTTGCCATTGCTGAAATCATGCTGATTTGGTTTGTTTGGCTGTGCTGAAAGCAGGGACATCAATAAGATCCTGCTGGGATATAAAGTATCTTGCACAAAAATAAGTAAATAAATAAATAAAAGAATGGGTAAGAATAAGGGCAAACAGGTAGAAAGATCTTGTAACTCAAAGAGGTTTTGTATCTGTTTTGTAACATGCTTTTAGTACTATTGATGATTAAGAACAAACTGAAGAAAAAGGGAAACTGAGGATCAAGGGCAGGGAACTTTTAAACTAGTCTTCATTGAACCTGACTTTCCTGCAAACAAATAAAAATCTTGCACCAAATATTTATCTACAATTGATTTTCTTGCATCTGAAAAGCACAAATCACAGTTTGATTAAGAACAGCAGTGTCTATAGAAATGAAGACCCATGCACCCTACCTCAATATAAATCAGCTTAGGCTGCCAACAAACAGAAAAGAGTGTTTGTTGACAGCCTAAATTGATATACACTAAATATATGCAGAATTTGAAGTGAATCAGTTATGGCTGATGTGCTGAGCTTTGAGAAGCTCTGCTGCTCCCTTGGCTTGTGCTGCTGATGGAAAATCACTTGCCATTATGGCATGTGTTCTCATCAACTGCACACAAAGAGCTATAACACAGTCAAATGAGAAGCAAACACATTTTGGATTTATATTATAACTATTTTTCCTTAGCGATATCATGCTAATTGACACATCAGTAGATTTGTATTAACAATTTAAATTACATTACATGCACATAAGTAATGTATTGTTATCACAGTTTTAAAGTAATAGCTATTGTAATATTCAGGTACCCATATCTTCAGCACTCTTCAAGTTGATACCAGCCCAGCTTCTGGCAAACTGTTCCAAATGAGATCAAAGTAACACCAACCTTGTATATCTTTTCTCATGACCTACAGGTAAAAATTATAGCACATATATCCATGCTACCTTGCTTTTCCCAGGCTATGAATTTTGCTTTTAGAAATCTTTTACTCTCTTATTCTTAGGATATATCATTTCTGATAGTAGATGTTGTTGAAGACACAGATTTGAAGTAATGTACACACTGGCAGTGATTGTGAGTTTTAATGCAGTACTCATACTCCCCATAATTGAATCTCATCTCATGGGAAAGCTGCTTATTTTATTTTTACCCATTTGTGATTTGTGAGAGATACAGTCCATTGGGAACTCAGAGTCATGATAGGGGATAAAAATTTTACTCTTAGTTTTAGATTTTCTTTGTCACTTTTCACTGCAATAAGATTTTTTTTTAATCACATATTTGACAGAGACATGATCTATAATTCATATAACACCTCCACCTTATTTTTTCTAGTTCTAGTTTTTGTTCTCATAATTTCTACTAAAGGATTTATCTCCTGGGCTGTACAAAAAATACATGAGAACATGAGCATTGCTCCAATAGCAAGGGCAACTGAATGAACAGGACTTTTTGATTGTTTTTGGTATGAATGACTTGGTTAAGAATAGGCAAAGAAAAAACTACACAGCATGAACAATTAATAAGTACACAAAGTACACAAGTGTGTTTATTACATTTTTGCAAGCACTTTGTTCTACATTTCAAAAACGCCACCATCAAGCTGTTGGCACATTTATGTACAAAACAGATTAATTGTAATGCCTGCTACAAAGCATTCTTTGTGAAAATACAAACTCTAATACCAGAGAAGAGCCAAAAGCATTAACATCATTACATGAGTTTAAAAGACATAGTTTTAAAAATCAGCACAAACGTTTTAAGACACAAAACTGAAACACTACAATATAGAATCCAAAAGAGGTTCCTAATACTTTTTGCAGAACTGTAATACTGGTACTGCACATTATGAGAAAACTGTTGACCCTGTAGGACAGCCTAAGTGTAAAAAAAACCAAAACCAACAAACAAAAACAAAAGAAGTTAAAAAGAAAACAAAAATTAAAAATTAAATCAAAACCACAATGAAAATCCCCAAAACAAGCAAAAGAAAAGTAATCAATCAACTAATACTACTTAATGCATTATCATGCCACACAAATAACTATAGTAATACCCTCTACTTACTACAAGAATTGTTAAAAATTACTGATGATGCATGACTAGTAATAGTACAAAGAGTTTTACTCAAGAAGTTTTATTAGAAATGCACTTACACTGAGAGAGAATTCACAATGGTCCAATAAGTGCACAAACTACCTAAGTTTTTAACACTGACAAAAATGTCTTGTCAGGCTACATCACTTTAAAAGACACTTTACAGCATTCTTGTAGCATTAGAAATAGGCAAAAAAAAAAATTAATTTAAAAAAATCCACCAAATTTGGTCTGATAAAACTGATTTAGTTTAAGTAGGGTTTTTTGTTTGGTTGGTTGCTTGCTTGCTTTTGTTTTTGATACAGGAAATTCCTTCAAATTAAGATGACTTATCTTTCTGATAAAATTTTCCTATCAAAATAAATGTTCAAATATATTACTACACTTTCAAATAATAAGCTCTGTAGTGGTCTTTCACCTAACTTTAACATAATACAGGTAAACCAATATGCGTAGGAAAGCTAGAAGCCAAGCTACAACATTTATGGAAGTCTCCTTTAATATATCTTGTACAGTTCAGACAGGTGCAATCCATTTAAATTTTTAAAGCAGGTAAAAACTTCTGATTCCTACAATCACTGTATTTTTGATATATTACTTTCATAAATGTAGCTAAGCAGTAATTTCTCACATCATCACATGAACAACTCCAATTTAGCATAACCATCGTTGAATTAAAGAGAGATCATTCTGTAAAAAACTATGGATAACTATATCACTTAAGTAACAATTGTCTATATACCATAACTCTTTAACAGGTAACCGTGGTATTGAACTCCTTCAAAAGGCAAGTGTCCATGCATTGTTAGCACCACGGTCGGCATGCTCACAATACAAACAGGAATTATCACCCATGGAACTTGGAACAAGAGAATATTCTTTAAAAACATCAATAATAATACAATGTTAACAAAGATAAGAAGCACTTTTTTCTTTTTTTTTTTTTTCTTTTTTCTTTTTTCTTTTTTTTTTTCCCATTTTTTATTTTACCCACTATTACAAATTTAGAAATTGCACCTTTGATCGTTTAAAATGTTCTTAGGACCTTCATTCAAGTTGATGAGGGTCCGTCTGGCAAGATTTCCAAATATAAAGGAAAGTCATCAGTGTTTTCTTTATATATTGTACATCATGTACAATGGTCCCTTTGAAGTATACCTGTAGTTAAAGTAGTTATTGAACTCAAAACTAAAAAGTATAAAAAGCTACCTTTTTTCAAAAACATATAAGAAACAATGCAAAAGGTGTTATGCTTAACACATACAAAGTGATTAAAAAAATCAAACACATATTTGTATTTGACAATAGTTTAGTATCCTTCATCTAGCGGAACTAATTAGCTTAAAAGGATTCAGGAAAGGCTATTTAGGAGCTCTGTGGTAGAGAACGATCACAAAAAGTAAAAACTAATTTAGAAACCAAGTGCTAGACAACCAAGAATTGCACATGGGTGATATGTAAGTCACCCAAACTATCTTTTGTGAGAAGCACTTTTAATTGTTTTTGAAATGGTTGGATGGCCTTTAGTTAAACGACAAAGCATTCACGTGTTAGAAAGTAAGACAAGGTTTCTTTTATGTGTAAGCATTGAGCCGCTCTTTAGAGCGAGTAGAATGAATGTCATGAAGCTCTTGCTCCTCCTTTGACTTAATATCCTCATATTTTTGCATTCTGCAGGCATCTTTCACATAGGCCCAGTTGGCAGACAAGACCATGAGATAATGGACCTGTAAGAGAAGTAACATGGAGTTAAGTATCAAGAGACCTAACCAGATTCACGTTCAAACTTTAGAAATTACAGGGCTGAGTTTGTTGTTGATTGTATTACTCTTGAACACTTACTGGTCATCATTTAGTACATAGGAAAAAGAAATCAAACTAAATTAATCCAAAAGCTGGCACCATGAGTAGTATCCAGGTCTGGGATTATTAGATCAAATGATAGATGATGGTATCAAATTTCCATAATCTCCATTCAGATGAATTAAATGCCTTACCTTTATTTATTTATTTATTCCCCCACTATAAAATTCTTGACAAAATTCAAAGAATGTGACTGGAAGTTCTAATCATTTTGTCATCTCAGATAATTAGACCATTGCTATTCTTTAGAGAGTATGATTTCAATAGAAAAATATAATTTGAACCTCTCAAAAATAATATCTGGCCAGGTAGACAGATGAGAATCCTACAAGCTGAGGTTACCTGAGCAGTGTTCTTAGCAACTTCCTCACTTCTTAAATCCGTAAGCCAGAAAACCTCACAGCTGAAGATTATGTGATGAAAATGGGACCTTGTAGGCCCTGATTTCTTGACACAAAATATTTGGTAACATTCCACTATGACACTAGAGTCTGGCATTTTCACGTGGCATTTTACTTGGCTTTTAAAAAGTACAAAAAAACAGACAAACTACTCTTAAGATACGTTGTGCATAGTCGAGCATTCATTTAACTCCAATTTTTCTCTCTTCTCTCTCTAAAAAAGTTACAGAACCAAAGTTCTGGCATAGAGTTGAAATCTCTTGCATGTCACACTCACTGTAAGTATGATGACTTCCCTGGAAGTAACTACTTCAGTATCTATAAAGAAAAAAATCTCAAATACATATTTATGCTACATAATTACACATTAGCTAAAGATTCCACCACCACTGTTTTTTTTTGTTTGTTTGTTTTTTAATTTCACACCAAGTTCCCAGATAACATTGACACAGGGAGGAGGTCATCTTTAAGTGGCTGTCTAATTGCATTTCACACTTCCCTGACCCGAATAGCCTGAAGCCCTGTCAAGGCTTATTCAAATTGAAATAGGGCAGCTTCCTCAGTTTGCCTCGGGACGTTTCAATTACAGGCATATGCAAGATAGTGCAGGGTCTTTCCGTCGTCTATGAAACATTCCTGCTTAATTTTCTTCCTAAGAAGAAAGTATATTTTGACCTTTCAGATCTGTAGAATTTGGAATGGATTTTTTTGTTTGTTTTGTTTTTTTTCTTTCCTTTTGGGACATTTCATGATCTCAGCAGGGTAGAAGGCTGAAGAACTTGCTTTTCTTCTCTTACCTGCATCTAACATCCTTCAAAAGAACACAATTCTATTTGGCTACAGGAACTAGCCCACTTACGTATTTCCCTGACTTTTGTTTGACATTTTCCTTCTCTGTAAAATCAAGTTTTCCATGTCATGTAATCCTGAAAGTATATGAGTTTTTCTATGCTCCAACACTAATTTATATACTTTTTGAACCCCAGAGAGCATTTCCTTTTGGAGACTAAACAGGCAGGTAATTAATTGAAAAAAAAAAAAATAAAAAAAATAAATCAAAATCCATGTACAAACCTGAGACCAAAAGAGAGAATAAAGTAATAGCTATGGAAAAAACATGACTTGTGACCACATGGTTTTAACAATTTTGTTTGTTTTTGCAATAAATGCTCACATTTCTCTACTACATGTATGTTTTTAATCCAGAGTAATGAAAAGTAACTTACTCTCAGATAGTCCTGACATGGATAAGCAAACTGCTTTCTCTGAAAATTTCACGACACTTCGACAACTTTAAAGAGTTTACATATACCAACTAATTTGGGTTTTGCAAGTGTATCTCCAGAAGTGATAAAGTGAAGCATATCAATGAAATGATCAAAATGTCATTTAAAAGAGATGATTTTACTATTCCAATTGTTCAACATCTCATGGATAAAATAGTGTTATTGCTGAATGGTTAAAATACAAAAAGCTTACTACTTCAGTCAGATACTCTATTTTAAAGTAAATATCTAATAAATGTTTTCAACCTGCAATGAATTCATATGCTTTCTCCTTTGTAAAGGACTAATATTTTGATCTCATTTTTCTGTCAAGAAGAATTAAATTTCACAAATGTAGAGTTTTGCTACTCTTATGGATTTGTACAAAGACACTAGCCTAATTTCATCAACTTAGCATTGTTCTGATTCTTTTTGCAATAGCACATATGAAGAAGGATGGTGATTCTCCAGTGACTTAAATTACCTCTATACAATGTTTTTGATACCCTAGCCCACTGTCAATTTCTTCTGATTTGGAGCACACGATCTTTCTTCGTACTGTATGAGGCATTTAGACAGAAAGTACATTTTTACCTCATTGTTGTGGTTTAGCAGCTAAGCATCAAACAGCTGGTCATTCACACCCCCCAAGATGAAAGAAGAAATGAAGGAAAAGGGGAGAGAAATGAAGGAAAAAAAAAAGAAACTCATGTGTTTAGATAAGAGCAGTTTAAAAAGAGAAAGGAAAAAAAAGAAGCCAAGGGCACTATCTCACACACTTTTTTTTTTATTCCTTGGAACATTCTCATTGGCAAAAATTGAAAGTATGTCCTAAAAGAGAAACTAAGATATTCACATATATGCACAGAGCAGACAAATAGACACAGTTAATAAAATAGCAGCATGGTAAGCCTGTGAATATCCAGAAAGGCATAGATAATAAATGGATATTATTTTGGTCATAAGAAAGACACACAAGTTCCTATGCTTTTCTGAATATAGCAATAGAATGGTAAAAATTCCCATTAGGTACCCGAAGGTGCATCTTATTCAAAGCAATCATGACATTCTACATAAAAGGTAATCCAGCAATAAAATTTAAATTTACATATAGGTAGTAGTACTGAATTACAGAATTATACTGTACCAATAGGCATGCAGATTGAGTAAGTAACAATCAGCACATATTAGTGATTCAAATGACAAGATGGAATAGAATAGGAATAGAATAGAATGGTGTTAGGCAGCTTACCATAGCAATGACTGCTGCTCCTGCTCCAGCGAGTGCCACAATGAACAAGTGGAATGTCATGTTTAGCTGCAAAAAGGAACAAAGAAAGGGATTTTTATGCATTTAATGCTAAATGGAAACTGAACAAAAAGCCTGAATAATGCAGAACAAAAGATTGCCTTCCTGGTACCATCGTTCTACAAAACTGGTGATTACTAATACTTTTTACCAAAAGATTGAAATTACAACATGACATTGTTGTTACAATACTCATATCAAGGACTAAATAAATAAATAAATAACAAATATTTAAAAATTAACAGGACTCAAAAAATAGTTTACGTTTGCAGTGATACTCTCTATGATAGTGATTATGATACTATCTAACTGGCTCTTCAAAACTTTAGTTTCTCTAGTGGCAGAGAGAGACTAAGAATTTGTTTCCCTTTGCCAGCTGTAGCTTTTCATATGCTCATATGCAGATTTATTTTCCTCCAAATTTTGCCAATAAAATTTGTTCACAGTGATATAATATAAACAAAGTTATTTAAGTAATCCAAGCTACCTACTCCACTCTATCCCAAACTAAATGATTACATCTGTTTTTCAGACCAGTGATCTGGTTTACACTCACTGTACTGATAAGGTACCCTTGTACAGCAAGGGTTGCATTTTCTTAGATGCTTTCTTATATAAAGAAGGGTGATTGTGTAACTGCATTCTAGGAAGATTTATGCAAAAAGAGTAAGACCCTGAGATACATTTAATGAAGCACCCTCTGACTTCAGATTGATCAAGATTTCATCCTCTCTTACAGTTTTAGATAGACACTTTGTCTGCCCTGTTTTCTACCTTTATCATTTAAAAACAGAACCAAAGATCTCGGCTGTACTGAAATTGTGGTCTTTTCCTGAGAAAAAAATAAAAAGAGGTACATTTATCCTAATGCGCTGCAAAATTTGGTCTAATCCATCTGAAAACTTTATTCTCCTGTTATAACAGCAACTGAGATCTTCAAACAGTAATTCTATATATAGTCATCTTCATTGTGCAGCAAGGTGCATTAGTATTCAAAAACACATGCACCTTGTTTATTTCTTAACAAAAACAAAATACAAGTATGTTTAGAAAAATAATGGCCAGAGAAGCTGCAGTGACTAAATGCAATATTGGTAAAAGAGCAGGAAAAGTACTTGATCACTGTATTTTCCACTTTCCACACCATTTTATCACTCTAGCTAGAATCATAACAAAGAGTAAGAAGAAAAAAACACACCAGTTACTCCTATTATAACGTATGTCATGGATTTGACAAAATATCATCACATTTACTCACCTCATTCGAGTCACACATCTTGATGAAACTTTCTGATGTGGTACAAACCTTCTTTTCCTCTCCAATTGTTACAATACCTGAGCAGAAAAAACATTCACAGTATTTAGTTCTCCTAGTACATAGCAGTCTACTTCATGTGAGCCAGGAAAGCTAAGAAATATCAATTTTTGCCTCCTACATAGAAGTCTAGTTAATAACAAAATCATTTTTTTCCTAATTTCAGTCATCAAAAAAGCAAACACATCTTCTTAGTAAAAATTCTACTAGGAAACATGCGGGCAATGATTTTTGTGCCATTAAAAAAGAAGTCTTTATTCTACATTTTAATCAGCACAATAATTGAAACATTAGGAAATAATTTGCAACCAGTGTGTACACATATCATGCTGGATATTCATAAATATTCTCTACCCTCATATTAAGAACTATGCTGTATATCGTATTCAGATGTGTTGATCTGGTACAAAGCTTCTTCCAAAAGTTATAACCAAGAATTACTCAAACACATATTTGATTGTCATAATAGTTTCTATCAGCAAAAATAACCAGAATTTACACTGCTTGCTTCAGCTAATGTTGAAGTACTAAATCAAAGACAGCTTGAAGAAAATCCCTGTAAATCACTTATCATGAAAAACAGTGAAATTCTTTCCTATTAGAAACAAATAGTTTTAAAACGGAATTTATAGAAAACAGATATATTCACAGAATATACATTTTACATGTTAGTGCTGTATGAACATTTTAAATAAAAATGAGAATAAAAAATAAGTATGAACAAAATAAATACGAGCAAAACAAAAGCTAAGAGAAAGAAGAATGAATACTTTGGTGAGATCTGTATAGATAACTGTCTTTGCAACTCACCTATAATGCTGGGGGGGAATTTTTTTTTTTAAATAGATCACCCCTGAAAACAATAAGGTGAAGTATTTTGTTTCAGGTTAAGTTAAATATCCGACATATATCAAATTCTTTCACTCCTATGCAGTGCAGCATTTTTTCTATCTTCAGGCAGCAATTAAAAACGTACCACATGTTTATATTTGGCTAAGGAGACAAAGGAATGAGACTCACAGAAGTGCCCAAGAGGAGTAAGATTACCCAAGGCTCTGTGGGCTGAGAAACCACAGAGGTCCAGAGTATCTAGTCTCAAATCAGTCTTATGAAAGAAAGGAATCAATATCAAATCCAAGAATTCTCAGACTTTTATAAAATTCCAAACCACTTTATGTCTAAATTCTCCATCCTTCAAAAAACAAATATATTTCCACATTTTTTAAACTCCACAGCTCACCCTGTAGCCCCAGATTCTTTCTCCAGAAGCCTCTTAGAAAGTTCCTATTTGTATTGCTCTTCACCTTCACAAGGCCTAATAATGCAGCAAATCTCTGATTAACTGCCTTGACTTGTAGGTAATACCATAGAAACAGGTTTTTTTTTTGTTTGTTTTGTTTTTTTAAAAACATTGGTTGGAAACATTCAGATACTTGGAAACAAACCAACATGACATTTTCTGTTGTGAAATCTTGCTGTATTTAGTATCCTTCACTCACATACCGTACTGGCGAAGATCCAAGCAGAGGTTAGTTCCATCCACTAAGGTGGCATTTCGGCAAATGGTCCACAGATTGAAGTACATGTAAACAGGCAGAGAAGTGAAGGCTGTAACTCCAAGCCAAGCCAACATAAAGATGTATGTCAGCATAATAAACTGTAGTAAAAGAGGGAAAAACAAGTAAGTTAGAATTTAACTGATACTCAAATGCAAGAAAAAGAACCACTGAGTAATGAGAAGAGAGAGGGAGAAAGAGAGAGAGAGAAAAAAAAGAGAAAGAAGAGAAAGTGGATTTCTGATTGTTTTTGTCTCTTTCTGTCTTTGTTAGTATTATGGATTTGGTCTCATTAGAAAAACAGAGCAGTTACCCTTTCAGAAATGCAAGCTTACTCCACGCATTCCTGTCACTCTTGGGTCTGTGATTGTTGCAAAGCATCCCACCTGAAGTACTGACCAGTGCTGCACACTTTTTGAAGAATATCTCTACCTCTCCCCCATCACCACTAGTCTTTAGTTAAAACAAGAGGCAACAGTGATTGGTTTTACTACTACTGTTCACATTAATAAATATATATATAGTATAATACTATATGCTGTGCTTGCTTTTGCTATTAAAATCCAGGTCTTAAAAAAAAAAAAACAAACAAGTCCTAATCCATAGCTACTGCAGAATTTCACTGGTGTTGAATCAATGAGACCATCTATCTGTCATTTTGTTATTACATTTAAAGAAATTTGAGATCAAAAGAAATAGAAGGGAATTCATCATTGTGAACAAACTAGGGTGCTTACCTCTGTTAGCAAGGAATTAAACTACACATTTTGTAACACATTTCCCAAAGGCTCAGCACATTTCCTTTTTTAGCCCTGAGCCTTGAGAATATGGCATTCATTACTTGTATAGCAGTACGCTTGTAGGAAGCATTGAACTCCATTTGCCTCCAGGGCTGGTAGTTATACTGGCAGAAAGCATAATATATAAAATAAATAAATATATAAGCATTCCACCTCAGACAACTAGCAGACATTCATCTGTAAACTTTTCATTTTATGCCATGGAAAGGATATGAAGATACTACATTGCTAAATGTGGAAGAAAGTCAACCTCTTAAATGTTGAATCCAAATAGTCTCAAGATTTGATGGTTTCAGATAGGTTGATGAATCCAAACACAATGCTGAATATTCAGCACACTGACATTTTTTGAGCTGCTTACCACAGCAAAAACAAAACAAAACAAAAAACCACAAAACCTACCAAACAAATAAAAAACCACAAAAAATACAAAAAACCAAAACAACATGGAATCTGAGAATAAGAAATAAGACCTATTTTTGCAAGCAGAATAGGCTGGTCCACAGAGTGCTTAAAATTAAACTTTAAAGAGTAAATAAAGGGAAAATTGAATTTTCTCATTATTCTAATGAAAGATCTCTTACATGAGGTCATAAAGGAAAAAGCCTAATAAAAATACAGTTCTTAGTTCTTGAAATCAAACAATATCAGATATAAATGGTTGTAAACGGTACTGAAAATTGCTCCAGGCATAGCTTGTCCACGTGTACCTGTTCAGGAAAAATAATCCAAAGCAGAAACTAGTTTTGAATTTTAGGTGAGGTAGTTTTATTACTTTGCTGGTATAGGATGGACATTTTCAAGCCATATTGAAGAGACTGTAATTTGATTTACCTTAACTTACTTCCAAATAATATTTAATAAAAGCCATTTTGCTTCTGAGCAAGTGTATTTACATGAGATTTAATGTAGCTTAATTAATCCAGTTTAAAATTTAAGTCAGATTGACTTTCCTGATTGCCCCTTGGTAGATCGGTCTTTCAGCAGTATTTTGAAAAGATGGAGAATTTATAGCTCTAAAAATAATTATCAGAAGGATTCAAGAAACTATAAGGTAAAGTGGAACAATGAACAGAAACGTTTTTTCTTTGCTCCATCTTACAGTCTTAAAGCTGATGAGGCAACATATGTTTGAACCTTGGGCATTTATTTACATGTAACTACTCGGAAAATTACTTGGAAATGTAGATTCACATAAGGACTATGAATTCCCAATTAAAATGCTGTGTCTGATCCTCATTTATTATCATGCTAAAGAGTTACATACAGGTTTTGTAAAGCAGAAACAACCAATAAGAATGTTCCTAATGTGTTCTCAGAACAGCCTTAAAAGCCTCCATTTACTATTTTATATTCTATAGATCAGTGTTTTCTGGAAGCATGTTAAAGGTAAGGACAGCTTCCTTAGTATATATTCTATGAGTGTGCCAAACACAGCTAAATCTGCGGTCATACCTTTTGAGCCTCCCAGATCTTATGAACTAATCAACATTTTAAACATTTAGCATAGTGCTCAGTGTAGTAATATATAATAATTTAACAGAGAGGACAGGGATGAAAAAGATCAGCCTTAGTATGAGCATTACAATCTTTGTTTAATATTTGTGAATCTTTTGATCTGTAGAAGGAGTGCATCTCTCTGTAGCGTAGAACAGGAAGCCTGCTTAAAAGTCTGTGCTGAGATAACACAAAGCATTGGTATAGCAAAGAGGAAAAAACAGAGCTTGTTAGCCTCTAATAAAAAAAAAAAAAACACCAAAAAAAGCAGCCTGCCTCTGCCTGGGGCATAGAATAAGAGCAGCAGAAATCTGTCAGATGATGGCTGGGAGTCATAGGAGCTACTAACTCAGAGAGAAATGTCTGCTTGTTTGTGGAAGGGATTCTCTTTTAAAGACATGATTACTTGTTTTAGTGGCTCAGAAAAAGGGAATCAAATGCTGATTTAATTTTAAGAAATAGTTTAGAAAAAAGAAGAATTTCATTTTTTTTTCTTCCTGCCAGCTTTGACTGAGGAGCCACGGTCAATTATGTGCTCAAATTTTTGTCATAATACTCAAAGGACAGGGAAAAGATAGATAAATTTCCTTCATCTCACAGAATAACTGAAATTCAAAAAAATCGTGTTAAATCATGGTAATTAACAGCTATTCCTGGAAGATGCTCTCACTGACATCTGTGAGGCATGTAATCTGGACATGACAACAGTGCCCTAGGGGCAGTAAAAACCAAAAAGTTAACCTTGTTCAACAAGTTATTAGTTTCTGGCAACAGGAAACATTACAAATTCTTTTTATAATGGGGTCAAAATGCAAATATATTTGTTTGAAAACCATAGGTGAAGGACTAAAGTATTTTTAAAAATAATTTTCTATGCTATGACAGTCTACCCTCTGCTGCAGACAGCTTGTAAGAAATGCTTAAGGAGCCTGCTCACTGCAGGAATTAAATTCAGAACTTAGTCTCCAGAGATTCAAAGTGATCATTCTGCTTTGAAGTAGCATTCCACTATGTGACAAGCCAAAGATTTATGAAATAGCAGTACAACATCTTAAAGAGGAAACACAGTTTGTTCTTTACTACTCTATGCATTGTACTGATAGTGATGATGTGGTTCTCCGGTCATCTCAATTGTCTCTGTAAGAAGAATCCTGCCAGATTTTACAAGCTTTTCATTGGCAACAAGGCTGTCTTGAATCATGATGCATCAAAGTAATCAAGCCACCAACTCTTTTGGAAGGCTTTTATGATAAAATCTGTTTCACAGATCAGCATCAGGAAGCAAAGATTTCATTGTACATTCTAAAATAACACATATATGGCAGAACAGCTTTTATGGCAGTCACAGCTGGGTAAAATCCTGTTTCCACTGAAAACATTACCAAACTCTATCTGTTTTAATAAGATCAAGATATCAGTTACTGCTTTCTTTTTAAAACATATGGATACTAGTCCCATGAAAAGCACTTTGACTTTCTAATACTGTTCTTATTTTAGTTTTCTTATAAATATTTTAATACTCTTAAAACAACATTTTATGACTACTTCAGTCACCGTGGAGACAGACACTACAAAATCACATTTAAAAGTTATGTTACTATAAAGAGATGAATTGAAATGGAAATAGTGAACTCCAACTGTTACTCTAGTCATTTTATTGCATGAAGAAATTTCTGCTACCTATTACATATATACATACAGAAATATAGCAATAAATTCGGAAGTGCCTGAAAATATACCTAACTCTTAAAAAGCTCATGGTGCCATGTAATTTCATCTGTTTCAAACCACTCATTCTTGTTTTATATGAACTCCCTGACATAAACTTTACCACAGAGTTATGAAAAGAAGTATGCTTTGCACTGTTCATATCTGATTTACATTTATTATCTACTGTGACACATACTTAATATATATTTTTTTATTTTCAGTTTGACAATCTAAGCATTCCTTCCAAACTTCTTCCCAGACTCAGAAATTATCATCTGCAGTTTTCTTTTGATGGCAACTCAGAAGCATGAACAGGAAGATCTCAACTTCTTCCTAAAATGTTCTGTCTCTCTAACATCACATTTGAATTTGACTACCTATAGATTTTATTTCAATGCTAATATAACCTCACTGTACAGATATCTTTAAACTCACTGATATATCGATTCTTAAGTTGTTGCAAATCATCCTTTGTCATCCTAGCCATCCTCATTTTCTCTTTTTACATCCAGTTTGAAATATAAATATAATAAAAGAAGGACATTTAAGTAGATCACAACCTAAGAGACTCCTCTTGCATTCTTGGATCTGTTCTAACTAGCATCTCCTACATTTGTGCCTCATGCCCCATTCCTGAACAGAAGTAAATGATGAAACATACATTTTTCAACCTCTCTTGTTTTACAAATAACACTGCTGGAAAAAAAGAGTCTGATGTTCATACATTACTGCTAAATTTGCTACAAATCAAAGAAAATACACACTTGTAAAGACTTTTCTGCTTGGTCTAGAATATTACACTCACTGCTCCTAGCACTAACTTGTTGGTCTTTATTATTGCCTCTACAGAACATGTTCATCCTCTCTCTCTCTCTCTGACATGTTGTATTCCTAGGCACAGCTCCAAGACTCTTGTTGAAGCATGGATACATTTCATGCTATGTTATTACTGTTCTGTGGTTAATTCTTCTTGGCTGGCATTCAAGTCAACTGCTTCAAGAGAAAAAGAAAGCCAATAACATAACAATATTGGTCCAAATTTCCTTAATAGCAGGACAGACTGTAACAGTCAAAATAACTTCTCAAGTTTGCCTAATTGCGATTCATTTACATACTAAATACTAGCCAAGGAGACATTCTCTAGATTCTTAAAAACTATTACCAGAGAATGGTGAAATCCTTGAAATTTAAACTTTTGAAGCATTTGTTTTAAGGAACTGTTTTTTTGTTTGTTTTGTTTTTGTTTTTTGTTTGTTTGTTCTATCATTTAACTTTTATGGATAGTTTAAATGGATGAAAAACTCATCTTGCTAAAATTAAAAGCAATAATCATCATCACTGTTTTCTTTTCATTTAAATGTATATTTTTCTAAAATTCCTTTAGATGTGCCTTTCGAGGCTGATATTCTATATGTGATATCTGACAATCTGAAATATAGTTAGCAGCCTATAAAACAACTGTTTAACTTTCTGATTTACTGTGAATTCATTTATTGGCAGCAGTAGGGGAGGAGATTTTCACAGCTGCATAACAAACACACTATAAAGATTAATTAACCAATTTTTTGAAATTAAATAGAAAAAAATAAGAAAAATTGAAATTTTGAAATCCACTAACTATGAGACATTCAGTTTGAAGAATATGTCTTTATAATGACAGATGAATAGGTTTTCCTTGAAGATTTTAAAGTTTATCTGATACTTTTTTGTAAACCAGCCATACTCCATATTTTATTTCTGAATTTTCTTTATGATGTTGCTGGTTTTGTAGCATTAGGCTGCATAACACCTTTGACATTTGGTATTCCACATGTTTTTTAGGCAAGACAAATGTCTTTAAATCTTATCTGGTATTTAACACCAACTGAATTTTCCATCTAATTTTAAAATCTTCCAGATAGGTTTTTTTTAAAAAAAATTTATTTTTTCTAACACACTGATGTTTTCAAAATATCTTTTTCTCATTGTCCATTTGAAATTTGGAAGTTCTTTGCCTCAAAATGCATATACTGACACACTTTCAAAACTTTCCTCTTCCCTTTCTATTTCTTTTCAGTGATGTTTGCAAAACACATAAACTTGAGTTTGAATCAAGAGGTGTGGATTTTTGGTGAAAATCAGTGATTTGGCTATTAATCATATGGTAGATTCTAAACATAACCATTCAGTCTTCTGAGAAGTATTACCTTTCTGAAACTGCAGAAACTATGTACAACTGGCCAAACTGCTAAGATTTCTTTGCTAGCTTCTAATCATTTGGAACATTAATTAATTATTCTATGAACTATGCAATCTGAAAGGTCAGAGCACCAAAAAGTAGCATTACTGTGGAGCATGTTACATCTGTGTAGGAATTACATATATGCCGTGTTTCCTAATATCTAGTGTGTAGATCACCTGTTTACTTGTTTAATATTAAGTGTTGGGATTTCCAAAGTATTCTTTTTAATAGCTACTAGTATGATAGGGAGATGTGACAAGCCTATACTTGTTCCTTATCTGTATTCCAATTTAATAAATGTCCAGGCCTCTCACCTGACATCCAGAAGAGTCAAATAACAAAATATGTAGTTAATTTAATTGGTACGAAACAGGCCTGCCCACCAACCTTAAAATAATCCCAGCCCCAAAAAGTCAGCAATTTCACTATGAGAAACCTCTGATTAAGTTCCTGTATAAATCAGAATTCTTTTAATCTATCTTTTCCAGGGTAATAAGTGAATTGGCTCTTCAAACCAGGGATAATGTAGGAATAAATAATGGACTGCTTCTCATTTAAAAATGAAACAAAACAAAGTCTGATGAGAGAACTCAGCTTGTCCCAAACTGGAATGGGTAAGATTTCTAAGCACCCGTGAAAATAGTAAGAAAAGTATTTCTTGCCTAGTGCAGCTGAAGGCGTTATAATCTTTTGTTTTTTTTTGTCAGAGCTTATTTTGCTGAGGGAATAAGTTTTCCCATTCAGATGGTAGAATTAATTTCTTCCTAGTTACTCTGTGATTAACTGACATGGAGAGCATTTTAAATAGTCTATTATACCTTGCTAGGATTTTTAATCACTGAAGTATCAGAAAATATTAAAGAAAAAAATAATAAAAACATCACAATGCATTACAAACATACAAATTGTATCAAAACTACAAAATCTTATCCACTTACCCAGGCACTGACACATCTGCCGCAAGTGGTGATTTTGAAATCCCCATAGAGATCTTTGATGGCACCAGTTGTAAAGAATCCCTCCACCATCAGCAAAATCCCATATACAAAGAATGCAGCTGCTACACCATATATCACATACTTGAAGATGTCAATCCTGTACAGGAAGAGCAAAAGTTACTTATCCACAAAACTATTTAAAGCTGACTCTGAAATTTCATGGTGAGATAATTAGATTCAGCATCAAAGTTTCTACTCTGGAGTCAGCTTAAGTGTTGATATACTATAACAGCTGAAGCTGAGTACAGGAATGAACTTTTGAATAAAACAGCATCAATATAAAAATATTGGATCATTTAATTGAAAAAAAAACTAAACATTGATTCATGCAGGTAAGAGAGCTCAATTTGTCAGAAAAATTTGAAAATCACAAATTCATTTCATTTTTCATCTAGATAAAGTGGCAAAGAAAAAACAGGAAAAGGTTACACATCCCCTGAGTAAATATTGCACCTAACACTGAGGTTTCACTTCATTAGAGATGAGGTATTTTGTTATAATCTTCAATAAATCTACATATGCAGGTAGTTCTCAAGTTGCAATATCAGCCACTGTTATCATCTCCTCATTATTATTTTTCTGCTTATTCCTTAATGATCAAAGTGTCTGACACATAATAGCAAAATCTTCAGAAGAGATCCCTAACTTCAAACCAGAAAGATATGCTTCTCAAACAAAAGCAAAGAAGATAGATCATCCAGAGATTTTCTATAGTGGAGCCTAAAAACATCATTTTATAAACCCAAAAGTCAAGAAATCAAACAGTGTTTCGCAGTGTAACATGCAGACCCCAGAAGACTGAAGTGATTAAAAAGATTCAATGGGCTGTGCTGTGGTTGGCCTGCCCAGCACTTTCTGCAAACTCAATAGTGCTGACATGGAGACACTGTCTCCTAAATGTTCTCACAAGAAAGGTTTCTGAAGAGATGCTCAGAATGATTTCTCTGCCCTAAGTTTTTTTTCCAAGCTTAAACTCCCCATGATCGTTGCCTTGAATCAAGTTTCTTTGTCTTATACTCAGACCTCTCTGAAAAAATAACCACAGTGAGCTTTCAGTTTATTGATGTAATTTGGCAGGTTGTGTGACTTTTCAGAAGAAGGTAATGTGTAGGTTTCAGGTGTTAGTATGTTCCAGTCAGTTAGTATGTCCAGGTCAAGATAAAACAGCTCATTAGGGAGTAGGATGAAAAATAAGCCAGAGTGTCATAAGGAGCTACAAGATGAATTTTGACATGCACTGAACAGCTATCCACATTGAAAGTCTCTCAAGACACCAATATTGATAACTCTATTATTATTAAAAGAAATATTTAATAACATTTCTTTAGGTTCACACTTTTAATTGTCAGCCCAAAATGAACTCTCAATACACAGTTGACAATAACAAGGCTTAACAGCCTATTAACATATCTTTGAAAGGGACTCAAAGTCAGATTCAAGTCTACAGCTGATGTTTAAGATGTACCAGTGTGTCAACAGCATCACTGAATTTATTTTAAGCTTGCATTATTCTCATAAAAATTCAGCTCAACTTATGACCTAGCTGAGAGGGTGAGAGATGGAATGTGTAATAAATTAATGCAATAAGCATGTTGCAATATTTTTTGCAGGGCAATGATGGAAGTGTCCTGGGAATGCAAATGAAAATACTTTCTCTCTTACATCCCAATAATGAAGTCCTCTTTGTTTCTTTTCACATCACCCTTTATTTCATAGCCAAGTGAAAAATAATGCAAATTGAAACATGTATGGAAGAGATACACAAACTGTTCACAATGGTAAAATAAATCTAGCACTGTAGACAATATTAGGTAGTGCAAAGATGACATTTATTTTAATAGATATAATTACTGATTATCTTGTAAAAATCCCATCTTCCTAATTTTGTAGTAAATCACTCAGTGTAACACTGTTTTAACGGGAAAATGATCTTTTAAGCCTATCTTGCCATTAGTGATGAAAATAAATGTATTGTAGGCAACAGACAACTTTGTGATCATGCCATAGGATACACTGCCCCTCCTACATTATACACCTTACAAAACACAACCTCTGCCAGTGGCTGAAGTGTGGGAGTTATGCCAGCAGCAGCTCCTCACAGACCTCAGTGTGCTCAGTGCTGTAGAAATTAGAAGCTATCATTGCCCTGAAGGGATTAAGGCTTTTGGAAAGTCCAGAGACTATTTCAGCCCTTGCAACAGCTCTTTAAACCATCTGTGCTGAGCCTCCCACTGAGCTGCTCATATCAAGTAGGGTACCAACATATCTCTGTTTTTTCTTCAGCCTTATGTGTAACCAAAGGAATAGCTTTCATTAATCTTTTTTTCAGGGAAAAAGAAAGAGATAAACATTAACCAAATATATTTTATATATATATATATATATATACTAACCAAATATATATTCCTCATATGCTCCCATCACACACTCAGAAAATAGTAAAATTTCTGCTGGACAGACTACATGAAATGAAATAGCCAGACTTAATGCAAGGAGAATGGATCTTGCATAATGCAAAGAGTAAGAAGTAAAAATAGAGAAACAATAATTTCACTATCTTTTAGAATATCAGAGATAATTGTATTGCAATATATCTACTAGGTACACTATATTTAAAGAAGATATATTACAATTGTTGCCTTTTAATCACATATAGTTTTGAAGATATTATTGGCATTATTCTACAGCATCTATAAATTTCACATAAACTTTGATCTTCCAATGAAATTATAAAAGATAATAAAATATAGGCCTTGTAAAACAGAGATTGACATTCTCTAAAAATAAAATTTAATACTTCATGAATGAACTCAGAGATTAATTGCCATCTGTGTTTCAGTAAAGTCTCAAATGCTGCAGACAGAGCATCAGAGCAGCCAGAGAGGTAAAAGTGAATAGCAAAAGGAGCAATGAACAGGAGCCAATGGGCAAGGGGGACAAGGGCACAGCAGAAGGACACACAGGGCTCACACTTGTGCAGGCTGGAGTGGGTGGAAAGAGATGCCTTAGCAGCAAAGGAAGCAGAGACAAAATTAAAGAGGTAAATTCTGTACCTCTGATGGGACTGGAAAGATATACATTAGGTGAATACTGAGGCTACTCCAAATGAAAGGAACAATAGGGAAGCTTAAATGGTTATTCACTAAATGCAGGAGTCCTAAGGATATTACATAACGATACATTCACAGTCATGAAACATTTTTGCTAAAAGACAGCGAATAAAGATTACAAATTCAAACTGATAGTGCTGTCTTCACGTGTTAATGTAGGTTGCTGGATCGAATAAACTGTTGAATTATGTAAATGTAACTTAATAATGAAGAGCATCCTGAAATTAGAAGTTTTCATTATTATTATTACTACTTTTAACAGAATAATCTAAAATGTAGTTCACATATTGTCTGTGTCTGGAAAAGGCTGTTGTAGGCTCCAGACCTGATTTACTCATTACACTGTGTTCTGAAATACCAACAAACACAAACATGACATCTTTCATTTTGTAATTTAAATCAAGTTGATCTTTCACTTACTTGTCTATTGCTGGGACATTAATCATTCCATATTAAGCATACTTTCTAATTCATTAATCTGAATCTGGATTCTATCCAACGATATGAATATTAAAATAGCTGTAGTGAAAACACTTTCTTTCACTAGCTGAAGCTGCTGATGGAAGCCATCAGTGCTAACATCTTAACAGGCTGTAGATGAGTACAGAGTAGACTATCCCAGCAGACAAGTCAGAGGTGAGTGAAAATACTCTCATTGAGTGAGATGAAAGTAGTAGATTCCCTACTGTGCATTTTTGTGGTGCTTTGCAAATACAAGGATAGAAAAAAATCAACAGGCAATAAGATTAATTGCTGGATGATCATGTCTATTTATAGCACAGTTTGGGAAAGAGTGTTTTAATAAAATAGCTATTAATTTTCTTTGACACTCCTTCAGACAACTGGACTAGTAACTATTTTATCCTGCTTTGAATGTATTTCAATATTCAAAATTAGCTCCTGTTAAATACTGTGTCTTAAAGTAACAATGCTCTGGGCTTGAAGATCTTGTTGCTTCATTGGAGTAACTCAGTATTGCTCTGAGATAATAACTGTATTTACTGCACGAACAGAAAAACCAGAAAGAACTTTTACCTTTGACCTTTTATCTATTCCAAAAAGGAATTACAAATTGTAGGAACTCTGACGCATTTAAACTACACTAGTCTAATCACAGGAATCATTCTACCCTCAATGCTGAAGATTGACATTTACCTAGGACATACCAACATATACATTTCTATCAAAATTAATTAATATTCTTTTGGAACAATCAACATATTATCTAGGGATATTTCTATTTAACTCCATTAAAATATGACTGCATTACAGACAATTATTTGCAATTAGCAGCAACTGCAGATACAATAATAACAACAAAAATAATGTTTTCTCTGTGACACGTGATTGTCATGTTTCCCAGAAAACCTTTCTATCTGGACAATGTGTACCTTTCATACTGAACATATCACAGAGGCTTGGTTTGGTCTAATCCACTAGGTTTCACGTGGAAGCAGTTTTTCATCATTTATATTTCTACTTCACACTTCTCTTCCTGAATTTATAACATAACTTCTCCAAATACAGATAATGTCATTTAGATACTACAGCTGTTGAGTAGCACATAATTGTCATCAACCCATACCCATATTCTCAGTGCGCAAGTAAATTCAGGCAATTATACCCATACCCAAGAGTAAAAATAATAATACTAAAAGTAAAAGATAAATACAAAGATAAATACAACACCAACACTATCAAATATAAAGCTAGTTAGATTACCACAGTAAAATTTCTCATTTACAATTATAATTTCCTTATAATTGGCATAGAATAATGAATGCAATCATCACCACTGGTTAAGATCAGCTTTGCTGTTTTGTTTTTCTTTTCATATTTTGTTTTCTCATCACAAGGAAATAATCAAAGCTAAGTGCCTTTGTGATAATTCTTTCACCCCCTGAGAGACATATCCTCAGAGGTTGCTAAGAGACTGAGAAAGCTTCCTGCTCTCTCAAGCTATCTCAAGATCTCAGAAACAGTTTTG